TTTTTTTTTTTTTTTTTTTTTTTTTTTTTTTTTTTTTTTTTTTTTTTTTTTTTTTTTTTTTTTTTTTTTTATTGAAGAAGAAGAAGAAGAAGAAGAAGAATTGTAAAAACCTTGATGGTTTTGTTGAAATTCCTCTGGTTTCTCTTCTTCAAATATCTCACAATCCTTTCTTTCCTCTCTTCCTCTGAGTACCGAATTGCCACCTTAATGTTACTCTCTTCCACGCCGCCCATTTCATAGCTACTGCTGCTATACACAGGCTTCAACTCAGGCACGTACCCGAAGAGGTCATCGCCGTATTCGCATGCCCCGGGCAACGCCGCCTGGCTGCCGATGAAGCTGTGAATGCCATACAATCCCATGTTAGACTCAGGCCAGGACGGGACAGTCATGTCAGAGACGGGACATGGCATTGTTAGAAGCGGCAAGAGGGCGTCGGACGGGGAGGGGATGAAGGGCTGTCCCCCGGCAGCCAAATCGACATGATGATTGGGTCTAATGCTACACATTCCAGAGTCTCCAGCAGGCATTAATAGGGTGCGGACATCAGAGAAAGTGTTGTTGGTGTTGGGAGGAAGAAGATGATCAGAGTAGAGATGAGGGAATGAAGCCATGGAAGGGATGTGAAAGGAAGGAAGGAAGAGAGGAAGAGAGGATTCTTTGGGGTCTCACAAAATATGCTCTTTTTTCTGTTAAGTGCAACGCTTTGGATTTGGCATCCAACTTTTATAGATAAACACAACATGAAGAAGCTTCAAAGTTGACTGATGCAACAACTTGCCTTGCATGGGGCAGGGCAGCTCGGTCACCTGACCGTATATTTCTCCATTTTACTGTGTTTTTCTCTCTTTTTTTCTTCTACTCGCATCTTTCATTCCTCTCTTCATTCATTACTCACTTCTAATTTTACAACAGAACTCCAATACATCATGCTAATTTCTCTTTCTCGGGACGAATCTTAGAGTCGTCTACTTCCTAAAATTTTCATTTGTTATTGGTTGTACTCGAATGATCCATTTTTCTATATATTATGTGAGTGAGACATAGTTAGGCAGGCATGGACAAGAACAGTGGTTTTATTTTCCCTTTCTAATCGGCCGTTTAAATGTGGTCTTCCACCAATTTCGAGGTGGGTCCTCGTGGGTCAAAGTAACTAGACGTGAGATTCAGACTTCTTTCTAATGCACGTTTGAATTTGAGTGTAACTATGAATTTAACTACTAGGAATAATTAAAGGAGTTTATGGGGAAGGTGAAGTTAAAAGGGAAAAGGAGGAAGAACCCTGAAAAGAGGGAGTAACGGCAGGCCTCGTGCGAATGGTATTCTTGTCGTACTGATTAAAGTGCTATCTATCTCAGACTAACTACTTCCAAAACAACTAAACCCTTTTTCTTTTCTTTTCTTTTTTCTTTTTAAATATGTATATAATACATAATATATATATATATATATATATATATATATATATATATATAGAGCGAGAGAGAGAGAGAGAGTTAGAGAGAGGGCAAGAAAGGAATCGAACACATGGGTTGGGTTTGGGTTAGCAAGATAATAGACCAGAGAGAGCACGAAGAAGAAGTGGAAAGTACAACAATATATACCCAAATCTGAAGGCTTCTTCTTAATTACAATTTCCATTCATGTCTCCTCCTTGTTTTCTTCAACATTTTGGCACAAACAAGATTCATTTATAACTCTCACTCTTTCCAATCAACAACAGAATTGGATTCATTTGGTATTATTATGTTCTTTCATTATCTAAAACCCCTTCCTCCCCCCCAACTTTGCATTTATTTACGTCCAATCACAACAGAATTGGGTTGAACGAGTGGCTTTTGGGTGTTAGTGTTGCTCCTACTGTAAACATCATCACTAAGTATTACCCATTTCCAAAACCTTAAAACAGGAAATGAGTATATAGTAGGATGATATAGATATTCGAATTGGGCTAATAAGGGCTAACCTGTTTACTTTTCCTTCTCTCCTTCTCAAACTTAAATTACTGCCTATATTTTCAATTGCATCCTCCCACTTTGTAAGTTTCTTTAAAACTACCCTCATAAGAAATGCCCCATTCACATTTAAAAACAAAAAACTATGGCTATACTCTGCACGATAACTTATAAAATCAACAATTCTTCAAAGTAAGAACATTATAAAAAAAAGATGAGTAACATTCAGAATATGTTTGAAAGACCTAAAACAGTAAAAAGTCATACATTGAATCTCTCACTCATTCTTCACAACCATACACGTTAATAATGTTCAAATGCATGAAAGGTATATTTAGTCTAATTTTTTCTCATTTGAACACTAACCTTTATGGTTGTGATTTTTTAAAATGGAATTACATCTCTCATTAAAGTAAGAAAGCTAGAGACTCAAAAAAAAAAAAAAAAAAAAAAAAAAAAAAAAAAAAAAAAAAAAAAAAAAAAAAAAAAAAAAAAAAA